CCGTTACAGTTTCGTGATCGTTGTATTCTGCTTGGAAGGAAAAGAGAATATCAATAAAGCAGATGGTTTGATATAATTTTAATATTTCGGCTGTTAGCACAGGTCATCAAAACACTATAACACTCTGTATACTGATATAAAACTATGGCGTGTTACAAAGAAACGCAGAAGGGAATTTTAAAAATCTCAAAAGTGATAGACTAGTATCGAAACTAGTAATTATAAATATTTTTATATTCTACAATTCAGAGCCTCCTGCACTCTGTATGTGGTTCGTGATTTCAGTCAAAGCTAAAAGATGTATTGTTGATGATACAGCTGCTTGCCGCTGAGTGCTTACGTACGAGAGGACTACTTCACGACAATGGTCTTTTGAAGCAATAACCACCTTTGTTACTGTCCTTTTGTAAGAAATGTACCCTGTGTTTCGACTACTTGGTGAGTCATTCTTGACAATGCTTTGATAGTGTGTATTAGAGCAACACATTTTCCATACCCGTTGTATGTATACGTTCAGTCTATGCAATGTAGTCGGCTCTTATCTCGACGCCATTTAGTATGGGAGTTGGGCGCCCAAAGTGGCGGCATGTGATTTAGTTTTTATGCTTCTGTGAGTTCAAGATGATACGACAGCTCACACACTTTTGACACTATTCTAGAATGAATCATTGCTGGTTTGCTTCATTATAATAATCCTCAGTATGACGCTTACTGGTCGACCTAAGCCTTTGTCAAGGTGAGTCGTGTCGTGCCACCTAGACTAGGTGATATGCTTCTGGTCTTGTATCATGACAATTTGACTATTGTCAAGACTTTTTACTATGGTAAGCTGCGAGATTTAGTGTCACCCTTGAAGTAAATTAGGTTGTCTTTTTCTACGACGATTTATGAAGTTCTACGTCCCGCCACCGCTGAAAAGATGTTTCTACCTTTGTCAAAATTTCACGACATTTTCCTATGTAAGTCTGAAACGGAACCAATTGTTAGCACAAATTTCACCAACAATCGCACAAGTTGCATTACTTATTACTACTCAGGTTGCAAAAAAAACGCCAGAAGGTTCTACAAGCAATCAAAAAGAGACAACATTATTTAAAACACTGTAAATAAAAAAAGCAAATAAAAATAATAGCGTAATATAATAGATGAAAAATAAAAATGTCTGGTACTGAGCTTCATTGCAGACATATTTCCAAGTGGTACGTAGTGCATATACTGCATGTTTGACATTAAGCTATCCGAATAAATGACAAGGTTATTTTTGCACGAGAACATAATTCAAACATGTACTTAGTGGTATTGTTCCTACTGTTTAAATTAACGTACCCTTCACCTACGAATCTCAGGCAAATCTTTAAAGTTTTTTTTTTTTTTTTTACGGTTGCACTAGATTTTACGAAAGATCCCAATACGTCATTAGTGCACACGGTCACGACACAAACCGATGTTGAAAAGAATCATCCATATTTTCTATAATCGAATATGGGAGGTGAACTTTGTATTGACTTTACGCGAACCTTTGAGGCTAACGTTTAGATAGGCAACTTGGAAATCTAACTCTGTACTTCTACGTGACGTTAGAAGCATCCATAGAAAAAATATTCAAGTCCCCTTTTCGAATTACGTGCCTCAAGCTCTGCTTGCTAGCGGCGTTTTATGAAAAACGACGTCCACTGGAGAGGACTGGAGAGCGGCATTTGACAGTTGCGCAGATATAACGGTGCTTAATTAATTGGAAGATTGCATGATTTGCAGTTTCTTAATGAATATCAATCAAAGTCACGTTATATATTATGGCAAAATAGTTCAATAACTGAGTAAAAGCTACATTCTATATCTGTTGATTTCTTTTTACTGTTCTTAGTAAGTTGATTTCGTGATGTTTGTAAAACCACGCCCTAACTACATAAACAAATGTCAACAAAAACCTATACAGACAAACATCTACCAAATTAACGACGACCCCCTCAAGAGAACACTCAATCATGGTCACGAACAGTTCAATAAATAGGTCTATTGAAGTTTGTGTATATATTTTCACCCCCCCTGAAGTGGACACCTCTTGAAAACGCGCGTGGAAACCTCTTGAAGCTTTTTTGGTAGATTCACAATAAAATTTATTTCCTGTTAGAAAACACCTTTTACCATGAAAATCAATCTAGCTGGTCACTCACATTGGAACAGTATTCAATGATTAATTCTTCACTCCTGTTCTCGGCATTAAAGAGACCTCTCCATATTCGGCAATGAAATGACCAGACAGGTTCCGCTTGGAAACGAGAGATTCCAGTATACAAGGTACATAAACTGATATTTCTATTGCGTAAGTTAGTTTAATTGTTTTAAACTGCATGATAAATTAAAGTTACCGAAAGAGTCACTAATTATATATAGTACCGAAATAAATTTATCAATTGTGGGAAGTGGGTGTGCTTGTGATGCAAGGGCTTAGAAATGTACATTGATTTATAATAAAACAATTGGGACTATAAAAACATAAATTAAACCAAGGATGGCACTGGAAGAATGAGGTTAACGTTTTCCTCTTCTGGTATGTTTTGACTGGAGTTATCTGTCAAACTCTGGTTCGCATTTTTTGCGGGAGGGTAAAAGTCGTGCATTTTACACCGACAATTACCACCCCGAAACACCCTTGAATGTACGATATGGAGGCTTGTTTAAGAAAACACAACAAGTCTTTACTTAGCTGAGTTTATGAAGACTAAATATTGAACCGGGGTAGCGTGTGGGAAATATTTAATGTTTATCCTTTTCAATGGTCGAGTAATTCCATACTGAGTAACCATGTGAACAGAACCTCGACGAGAGCGCCGGTATTAAAATAGACTTCTATTTTGAGTAACTATATCTTCTAAAAATAATATAAATGAAAATCACTTAGCAAACCTCAACTCAGTTCCATAAAAAATCGGTTTTTATGTTTTCATATTTAAAAAGTGTTTATAATTGCATTAATTATTATCGACAACTGCAAGCCATGAAGGGGTCTTGGGAAACTTTTGATCCGAACTGGAAATCGCAGAATCCTTTGTGATTAGTCATTAAGTCTCGTTTCTAAGTGTTTCTTTCTGCCTCGGGATCTAGAGTCATTTAGGTAACAGTCTCGGATATTTTCAAACATGTGTATCGGCGTGGGTCCCAGCCTCTCGGCGATTCGCGAGTCTGGGTTTTTCAGTGCCATTGATTATCCATCGTACAATCAAATCACTTTGATAGCACGAACACTTTAGAGGAGAGGCTAGCTGTCTTTATTATAGAGGTATTAAGCCGGAAGAGATTTATGCATTTGGTTTCACCAGGACCTCGGGAAATGTTTGTATGATGTGTCCCTTTTATGAAGGAGTCCGTTTCTTTGGCAGTGTAGAAGCGTTAATGACAACTTGACAACACAATCAAAAGCGTTTTACTAGAAGCAAACTTTTGTATTTCATGCACATGGTCCATGAATATCGTCGATTGCATGCTTAAGAGTTATATTACTGCTTACTGTGCTTTCTCACGGATATTGAAGATATTGGATCTTTACGGGTTAATGGAGAATTTGTCACGATGAGAAAAAATTGAATTTTGCGGTAAATAGTAAAGCATTGCCGAGTCAGCGCAAAAAAAGTCATTCTTGGCATTTTGTTAATTATAGATTGAAAAACCTTTGGAAATGGTAGCATTGTTATTACGAAGGAGCTGATCTAATAAGAACATGAAGTTACTATTGACACTGTTTCCAATGGTTCCCGCACTTTATATATTGGCCTGGTGTGACGTAACAATCGTTTCTGCCAGATTTTCTGCCAATTTGACCAAATTTTTTGTGTTTTCTTGCATTGTTAAATGATTACATGCACAGTCTTTCTGTTAGGTACTGAGTTCGAAAAACCTTGAATTATTGATTTTTCTCCCTTTGCTATTGAACTGTAAGAGATGTTTCATTCGAAATCGAATGGGAACCAGGCCCCTTCGCAACTCCATTTGCTCCCGCAGTGCCATGCCAATACAGGTCAGTGGCTATTTATAGGAAGCTCAAATTCTCGTCGAGAAAAATCGTTTTCAAAGTTCAGCAAACTTTGCAGTTTATTAGCTGTGCTTTTGTTGGAGGCTTTGGTCTCTTTTTCTGTTTAATCAACTGCATCATTTAAGGTATGTATTTTTGGGTTACGATCGTTGATTTACGTTTCGTTACACATTTTCTCGATCGTTGATCATTAGTACTACAGCACAATTCCACGACAGCCTGCCAGCTGTCAATATTGTTAACTTTTGTAATTTCATGTTGCTGCTAGTGTATTATGTAGTTTACTTTTAATATATTGGGAACAAAGAAACCTTTAAAGACTATAAAACTGTATAATTTTATTTCGTTCCCTTCGGAGAAAAACTAATTTAGAATATTGATATAGAAGTCGGGAATTACGCCATGTAGACCAATCTTGACTGCCGCTTTCGTTTCTAGCCTCGAGTGCTTTTCGTACTTGAGTAGACATTTTATGTCATTTCATTGTTCCTATGCTGATTTCGAGATAAATATTTATTTGGGTAATTTTTGCGGTGAGCACAAATGTATGCGACTCTGGGCGGTACGGACACGTTGTACATCGCCGAAAGGAAATTTCGTGACCTTTTATTCGAGGCGTTACGCGGTAACTTCTAAGACTTCAAGTTTTTACGGGAACCTTTCTTATTTAAATTTCATAAATCCTCTTGCCCGAGCTGACGGTAAGTGAATGCGGGTTGTCATGTTTGTACGTTAAATTTAGTCTTCCATTTGCTTTCTGATTATTGCAATTAGGTTTGTTTAGCGATGGTTAGCGCTTGTGTTATCGAAAATAACATTTCTTCGACCTTGTCTTGGCCCGGCAAATGAGGTTACTATTGAAGCAATTAATCGAGCGCCTTCCGCGATTCGAGAGACAATTCCACCTGAAACTTTTGTTTCATAAGTTGCTCGAATCGAGTATTCTTAACGAAAGAGGTATGTTGTAAAGCAAGTGAACCATTTTTGAAATAACCAGCTTAAATATCATGGGCGGTTTGTGAGTCATTATCTGTTACATGAATTGTGACAAGTTGTCGTGTTTTGCATTCAATTTAATTCCCTTCGCAAGGAGCGGGAAAGAGCTTAATTACACCTATTTCTTAGTACAATAGAGTCTTTGTCAAGTCATTTGCAATTTCTGTTTTGGAATTCATACTTCGGTTAAAACAATTGTTTGATGTTCTGAGGGCCACATCAATATTATAACTTGGATGTGGTTAAATCGTCTTTGGTGAAGTAATCACGTCTTAGGGTATTCAGGATGTACTTGGGTTTCCTTTCTAAAATAACAATGACAGTCCTTTCGTTGTTATCCAAACTTTGCTATTTTTGTTTAGTTTTCTTTGGGAGAATCAAAATAATTCAACTGATAGAAAACAATTATAAACATTTAACATTCTTATAAAGGTCAATTTTCTGTTCCCTTTTATAATTTACATGTTATAGCTATCACCTTCAGCATTAAGCTAACTTACAGTATGATTTCTTTTTATGAAATCAGCTTTTTTGCTTCTAAGAAAATGAAATACCCAGAGGGTTGTAGTCATATTTTCGGTTCCATCACTATCACTCAATCAGATTCAGCCCTCAAGTTATTTTTGGTCGTGATCCTGCCAATATAAAAAGAGCTTTTATTGTTGTTGTTATCCAGCTGTTTGTTTTCAAGTCATGGTTTTAAACTAGGGCTATAGATTTTATGATCTTGAAGTATTTCTTTGATGTTAAACATTATGCAATGCTCTGCTTGTTGGCAAATACTCGGCATGCCTATTATTTACTGATTTTTATTACACAAACATTTTTTGGAAGTTAATTACATTTATGTATGAAAATAAGTAATGCTAAGTGAGATGACGTGTCTGCAGTGTAGCCCGGTGAGCAAAGCTTGCAATAGATCATAAATGTTCAAACTACCCATCATGGTCAAGTCAGTAAGACATGTTTCTGCTTGCATGCTCTCTTTCTCCTTTGAACAGCAGGAGATTTGAGACCACATGCTGATGGCTTAGTACCTGAGAGATCAATGTAGTGTTTGTGACTAAATACTTGCATTTGGAAAAATCATAAACAAGTAACAATCAGTTAGAGCAAGGATTTCTACTGGAGGGCATGCATTTTCTTTCTCTTGAATGTGTGAATTTATGTGAATTCTCAGAACTCTCACACAAGGTGTACAGTTGATTTTATTGAATAACAGCAGTTGTGGTTGTCTTCTTTAATTTTTGGCTTGTTATGTTCCAATTTTGTTTATGGTGCACTTTGATCTGCACTTTTCTAATATTAATTTTTAATTGTGTGACTTTTTTTTTTTCTACAAATAAAATACATAGATATATATGCTTGCCAAAACAGAAGTCTTATAGTTACACTTTCATGCATATTTATAGAAAAATTAAGGTACTTGTGGGAAATCTCACGGTCATCACTTGAAAGCTTTTCATACTTAATAATTGCGTGACTGGGTAATCACATGTTAGGATAATTAGAATCTCATATTGATCATGGGATTATTGTTTTTTAAGAAACTGTTTTGTGGGCAGGCTTGTGAAAAACACTTAGTAATACTAGTTTATTACCATGATTGTAGAGTGAATTTATTTACTGCATTTGGGAATTTTCCTAAAGGGATGCCACTTGAAATGTTATCAATTGAAAACATCATGTTACCTTTAGTTAGCTATAGACTCCTTGTCGGTATAATAATGCTATTTGGTAAGTGCTTTGAGAAATATTGTCAGATTGTTATTGACTAATTGATAGACTTGGTTATCAACCTTGGGGTTACCTGTTAGGTATTCATGAAAATCAATGCATTAATTTTTACCAGGAGATAATACTTTTAACCTTCAGCAGCTCCAAGTAGTTTTTCTGTTTGTTTATGTTTAGACAAATGGGTTTCTTTGTAATGTGTAAATGATTATCTCAAGTTTGTCTTTGAGTAACACAGCTTGTAATATATAGATTTAGAAGCTGTAATAGTTATTGTCAGTTTTCTTTATAGGGCAAGGCTATGAGAGATAGACAAAAGACAGTTCACGGTTTGTCCTTTTGGGCTCTCTGGCACTTAGTCCTATCCACGGACTATGCCCCTTATTGAGAGTGGAATGGAAATGGTAGGTTTGAAGTTTCATTTGCTGCTGAATCACTAAATTACCATCTTACAAGTACATGTACATGCAGTGCATTTGCATAAAAATGCTTTTTTTTATCATTACTTGAAAATGTCTTAAGTAGCTTGCAAGTATGCTTAGACAGCAGCTGCCAATTTGTGAGCTAGAGTTGGTTATTTATTTATTTATTTTTTTATGTATTTGTTTTCTACTTATTCTGTATATTAAGATCACTTAGCAAAAGTATTTTTATTGGCTAGTCAGAATGCATTTTAAAATTTTGTTACTTTGTCAGTTTAGAGGTAATTTTTTATACATTTCATATCTGAGATTGCGTCCATTTCTTTTTCTACTGACAGAAAGAACATGATAAATTGTGTGATTTAATAGTAGCACTGGTAAGTTATGTTTACTCAAGATGGGTGATATCATTATTAAGTACATTGAATTTTCACAATAATTTGCAACTTACATGTACATGTAACACTGTGTTTTCATAGCAGTACTGGTGTGCATTATACAGTTGTATTGGTTTTGTTCAAAATTGACTGTGCGTACCTCTATAACCACAGGTTTTAAGTAGCAGCCAAACCATTGTGCAGTTGAACCCCGCTATTTTGAGTTCTCAGGGGAAACAAATAATACATGACTGTAGTTTGAAAGAGCCAGAGTTCAAGATAGCTGATAGTAAATGAATGAAGAGCAAATCCAAGGGAAACAGTTTTGAGTTTGAAATAATGGGGAATTAAAAATAACCAAGTTTGAATTACCAGGGTCCAACTATTTAATTTGATATTTACTTGCAAAAAGATAGTATATAATAACTCATTAGAAATACTGTGTTTTGTCAGTGGTCATCTGGGAGACACTGACAAATCATTCTATTTTGCGATAACTGAGTTCAGTTATTGTTTTATCATTCGATTACCAAGTTTGTTTTTAAAATATTTAAGTCACTCTCTGAAAGCTCAGAGTTGGGCGCAGTGGCCTCATGGTTAGGGCATTTATCTCTGGATTGAGCAGTCTGGGTTCAATCCCTGGCTGGGGATATTGTGTTGTGTTCTCCTAGTCACTTTATGCTGCAGAAACTGGGATGAGCTCTGGCCTGATGGGCCACTTGGTTCATATGCAGACTTTACTGAAAGTTCAGGGAAGCAATCTGCTATTTGTCACCTGAGAGTGTGGTTACAATTATTCATGAGCAGACCATTATTTGTACGCAGTAATTTGCCTGTCACATGGGTTCTGGGCCAATGAAAAGGAAGAGAAAAACTACATTGTATGATAAATGTAATTGTTCATGTAATGATTTTAGCTAATAAGGATATTTACATATATATACACTATGTGATTAAAAGCATAGCATGACCTAATTTGAATTAATCATAAATGGCTGTTTAAAAGCTCATTTATGTTGTAATATATGTCTTTGCTTTAAAAGTTTGAAAACATTTTTAATTGTTTTGGACTACAACCACAGTAATATGAGGTAAACAAGTCCTGAAAAAACCTGATTTACAATTTTTTTGTTTCTGGAAAACAAATTTGTGGCACAGTACACAAAAGTAAGAACCAAAACATTATGCCAATAACTTAATATTTTTGTTGTGGTCACCTTACAGTCAAATCGTATTGAAGACCAAAGAGCTGAATTGCCTGTTCTGTTGAGGCCAGATTCTCGGTATATACCGTCATTGGTTATTGAAAAGATAGACGTCAATCACGAAGCTGAAGAGGTTAGTTTGTTATTTAACATAACCCTTGTACGTGCAGGTGTTTTAACAGGGTCATTCTGTAGTAAAGCTGCATACCATTAGAACTACATTTTCCTCTGCAATTATAGTGGTTCACATCTCAGTTAGCATCCCAGTAAATGGGTCACACCTTAATAGCTCATCTGTTCAGTGCCCTCAGGACTAACATTGTATGGTTCCGGATAATAACCATACCCACCCCAAGGGGGCGGTTGGAAATTCCAAGGGGGATGAGGTCTAAAAAACCCAAAGTTGTAAAGAAAAGAACTAACTAAAACTGGAATTTCCAGAGGGATGGGGGGTTCAAACCAAAAATCTTTCCGGGGGGGAAGGGGAGGTGTGGATATTTCCTAGTAAGTAACACATTTGCAGCTTTTTCCCAACATTGTTCTCAGGTTATCCCATCAATTCACTGATGCAGAGATGATTTACAGGCATTTGCACCAGCAACCTCCCCATCATGTCACATTTTAGCACTTCTAACAATGTTATGTACCTTTCATCTTTATTGTTGAAGGCATTGTGCCATAATTGTTAATGTGCTGAACTCTGGATTACATGGTCCGGGTTCAAGCCCTGGTGAGGGTCACTGAAATGTGTTCAAGACACTTAACTCTTACAGTGACCATGGGTATGAATGGATTTCAGACTAATACTAGCATCCCATCCAAATGGAAGTACATTGTAAAAAGATTTCTGGTCCTTCATGGTGTCAAAACCTTGGATACATGTAAGGGACATCCTGATGGGCAACTAGGCTCAAACATGGACTTGTCTTCATTGGGAGCATGGGAAATAGTGATTTTCATTCTTGATGACAAATGTTCATTATGTACATGCAATTTACATGTTCTTGTACTGGGAGTTGTTGTGCCGTAATGGTTATTATTCTGGACTCCAGACCAAGTGTTCTGAGTTATGAGCCCTGGCTGGGGTCATTGTGTTATGCCCTCTGGCAACACACTTACTTTCACAGTGCCTCTCTCTGCCTAGGTGTAGCAATGGGTACCAGGCAATTTAATGCTGGGGCTAACCCTGTGATATACTTACATTCCATCCAGGGGGAAGCAGAAATACTCCTTATCTAGATCCATGTTATAAAAACTAGAGATACATGTGCAGTAAGCACTGGCCTGATGGGCCACTAGGCTCTGACACAGACCTACATGCATACTGATATGTTTTTAAATCACAATTCAGAGTGATATTTCAAAAGAAGAAGAAGAAACTGATCCAGAAGAGGAGAAAGAGGATACAATGCCGAGAGATCTTGACCCTGTCAGAGAGGTACATGACATAGCTTAAGACTACTGCATTTGATAGCCTGTATATTTCAGACTGTATACATGTATTCCAAAATAATTCCATTTAAAAATAAGCAAGCACATTGAACATACCATTGTTAGTTTTATGGAGCTAATATTGGTCAAATTCCAAGACCTCATGATCAACAGTCTCAGCCAGATCATCATCGGTGAGTTTGACCTTTGATGTTCATAGATTTGTTAATTTTAGCCATGTTTTATCAACATCCCCTATGCTTTGCAGGTGTTGGCGGCAGGTGGACCTTATCCTTTAGTGGTTCTGCCTGTTGGGGGTGAATACTGGTTGGAAGGAAGTAACCATTCTAACATTAATGGCAACAATTTCAAGCATCTTGACTGCAAGATTGAGACAAGTAATGTCATCCAGAGTTACAGGAGGGATTTCATTGGAAAGGTTTGCTTTCAAAGACTTTGTTGCTTGATTAGATTATGTCCTCTGTGGTTCTGTTTGATAAAACAAGTCTAAATTAGAAATTTGGTGATTACATGTACACGTAGCTTTGAGTTTAGCTTTTATTGGAAATTATTTACTTTAATTTGAAATTGTGCTTCACTTGTCAAGTGAGATGTTTGTGGCTTAAGGTATAATTTAAAGACAGTCATCTAACAATGACATGCTGTACAATACGTCAAGAGATTTCCCTGGGTTTTTGGTTTCTGAGGTGACCTTTGATATGCCTATAATTATGTCTTATTTTTCATGCACTAAGTGGACACTCTGGTTCATGTTCTTTTGACTCAGCACAGCCATGCAAGTGTCATCTTCATGTACATGTCTGAATCAAAATACAGTATAGTTATGACACTGCATTTTCAAAATTAACCAACATCGTAAGAGGTGAATGTGGGCTCAGTACAATGCACATGTTTTATCATAATTATAATAATTTCATTGGTTTGTTGACACTTCAGGAACATCTGAACTTCATTTGTGATGATGAGAAACTTGGTCCTGTTATCTTGTCTGTAAAGCAAGAGATTGAAAAGCTGGATGGCTGTGACACACAAGGATTTATCAGAGTTATTTTAAGGTACAGCTGTACATTGAGCCTTTTGTTGATTTATTAATTGTCATGTAGCTCACACCCTTTTGATGACATGCATCTTTTTAGTTTGCATCACAGACAAGATCACTAGTTACTGGATTTTGTCTGGGAACTGTTTGCAAGTGCCATTAAATAGACTTCTACTATACAGAATCATACTAGCAAGCAAAAGGAGAGGGAAGGAGTGGAATATGACAGGGTCTGAGTGCTCATTAGGGTACTTGTTCACAGCCAGATTTACCTGCAGTTGAATCTGTTTCAATTGACATAGGCTAGCAACTTTTGTAATGCATTACAAAAAAATGCTGTTAGTTTTTCAGTCACAGACTGCATGTGCCTATGTATAGTACAAACCAAAAAAATTAAATATTACACATAATTCAATGACAAGTTTTCTTATTAATTGTTACTTATAATAATTATTACTGTGTAATTAAAATTAAGCTGTGGACAATTGTTTGTTTTCATTGTACTTAACAGAACAACTGAAAAGACTATTGCAGACTCTCTGCCAATAGAAAATCTATCTGAAAATCCCAGTCCAAGGGAGATTACTAAGGTAAGTAATATACCCTGGAACAGCTCTGTGTAAATTATCTAAAACGCTGTTGTATATTCATTACTTATATGTTTTTTCCTTTGTGACCTGTTGGGGTTTATTCAGGTAAAAGCTGTAATCTATGTTGCTGTGAGTGTGTTCAGTAAATTTCATCTCAGATGATGTCAAAATGTAGTAAGAAAAAAAGTGACACAGGAGGCAATTAACCAAGTCACTGATGTTCTTATCACATTTTCATGTTTTCTGTGATCGATTACTGGACAGATGCAGTCTGCAACATGGACTCTATTTGTTTTATAGAATAAAGAAACTGGAAAATGTTAATGATGTCATCCATGTGTCTGGTCTCCAATTGATCATAAGTAAGAACCAATCAAAATGCAAGAATAATTTGACATATATATTTAAAAGAGGAATCTTAACAGCGAAGGTTTGGACAAGAGGTACCAAAATTCCCTTAAAATAAATGTTCACTAAAAGAATGTCAAATTTTACTTTTTTTTGACGCTTTTGAGGGCTGAGCTTGAACACAGTTAATTTAACAAGGTTAGCTCTGTGGTTTTAGCTTATTTATAACATGCAGTGTGTACATGTTGTGTGTTTGTAAGCAGTTTGTGTTAATTCCTTTCAGTATCTTCTTGGGGAGGATGCAGACAATGTGGATCAATTTCAAGTTTTGGCTCATCCTAAGGTACATAATTATCATAATCGCACTAGACATTGTAATGCAGTTATATTGAATTTAATGTAGAGTCAACAACAAGGAGGACCATGGAGGAAACGATCCATATATTGTAAAATCCTGACCAAGAAANGTCTGGGTTCAATCCCTGGCTGGGGATATTGTGTTGTGTTCTCCTAGTCACTTTATGCTGCAGAAACTGGGATGAGCTCTGGCCTGATGGGCCACTTGGTTCATATGCAGACTTTACTGAAAGTTCAGGGAAGCAATCTGCTATTTGTCACCTGAGAGTGTGGTTACAATTATTCATGAGCAGACCATTATTTGTACGCAGTAATTTGCCTGTCACATGGGTTCTGGGCCAATGAAAAGGAAGAGAAAAACTACATTGTATGATAAATGTAATTGTTCATGTAATGATTTTAGCTAATAAGGATATTTACATATATATACACTATGTGATTAAAAGCATAGCATGACCTAATTTGAATTAATCATAAATGGCTGTTTAAAAGCTCATTTATGTTGTAATATATGTCTTTGCTTTAAAAGTTTGAAAACATTTTTAATTGTTTTGGACTACAACCACAGTAATATGAGGTAAACAAGTCCTGAAAAAACCTGATTTACAATTTTTTTGTTTCTGGAAAACAAATTTGTGGCACAGTACACAAAAGTAAGAACCAAAACATTATGCCAATAACTTAATATTTTTGTTGTGGTCACCTTACAGTCAAATCGTATTGAAGACCAAAGAGCTGAATTGCCTGTTCTGTTGAGGCCAGATTCTCGGTATATACCGTCATTGGTTATTGAAAAGATAGACGTCAATCACGAAGCTGAAGAGGTTAGTTTGTTATTTAACATAACCCTTGTACGTGCAGGTGTTTTAACAGGGTCATTCTGTAGTAAAGCTGCATACCATTAGAACTACATTTTCCTCTGCAATTATAGTGGTTCACATCTCAGTTAGCATCCCAGTAAATGGGTCACACCTTAATAGCTCATCTGTTCAGTGCCCTCAGGACTAACATTGTATGGTTCCGGATAATAACCATACCCACCCCAAGGGGGCGGTTGGAAATTCCAAGGGGGATGAGGTCTAAAAAACCCAAAGTTGTAAAGAAAAGAACTAACTAAAACTGGAATTTCCAGAGGGATGGGGGGTTCAAACCAAAAATCTTTCCGGGGGGGAAGGGGAGGTGTGGATATTTCCTAGTAAGTAACACATTTGCAGCTTTTTCCCAACATTGTTCTCAGGTTATCCCATCAATTCACTGATGCAGAGATGATTTACAGGCATTTGCACCAGCAACCTCCCCATCATGTCACATTTTAGCACTTCTAACAATGTTATGTACCTTTCATCTTTATTGTTGAAGGCATTGTGCCATAATTGTTAATGTGCTGAACTCTGGATTACATGGTCCGGGTTCAAGCCCTGGTGAGGGTCACTGAAATGTGTTCAAGACACTTAACTCTTACAGTGACCATGGGTATGAATGGATTTCAGACTAATACTAGCATCCCATCCAAATGGAAGTACATTGTAAAAAGATTTCTGGTCCTTCATGGTGTCAAAACCTTGGATACATGTAAGGGACATCCTGATGGGCAACTAGGCTCAAACATGGACTTGTCTTCATTGGGAGCATGGGAAATAGTGATTTTCATTCTTGATGACAAATGTTCATTATGTACATGCAATTTACATGTTCTTGTACTGGGAGTTGTTGTGCCGTAATGGTTATTATTCTGGACTCCAGACCAAGTGTTCTGAGTTATGAGCCCTGGCTGGGGTCATTGTGTTATGCCCTCTGGCAACACACTTACTTTCACAGTGCCTCTCTCTGCCTAGGTGTAGCAATGGGTACCAGGCAATTTAATGCTGGGGCTAACCCTGTGATATACTTACATTCCATCCAGGGGGAAGCAGAAATACTCCTTATCTAGATCCATGTTATAAAAACTAGAGATACATGTGCAGTAAGCACTGGCCTGATGGGCCACTAGGCTCTGACACAGACCTACATGCATACTGATATGTTTTTAAATCACAATTCAGAGTGATATTTCAAAAGAAGAAGAAGAAACTGATCCAGAAGAGGAGAAAGAGGATACAATGCCGAGAGATCTTGACCCTGTCAGAGAGGTACATGACATAGCTTAAGACTACTGCATTTGATAGCCTGTATATTTCAGACTGTATACATGTATTCCAAAATAATTCCGTTTAAAAATAAGCAAGCACATTGAACATACCATTGTTAGTTTTATGGAGCTAATATTGGTCAAATTCCAAGACCTCATGATCAACAGTCTCAGCCAGATCATCATCGGTGAGTTTGACCTTTGATGTTCATAGATTTGTTAATTTTAGCCATGTTTTATCAACATCCCCTATGCTTTGCAGGTGTTGGCGGCAGGTGGACCTTATCCTTTAGTGGTTCTGCCTGTTGGGGGTGAATACTGGTTGGAAGGAAGTAACCATTCTAACATTAATGGCAACAATTTCAAGCATCTTGACTGCAAGATTGAGACAAGTAATGTCATCCAGAGTTACAGGAGGGATTTCATTGGAAAGGTTTGCTTTCAAAGACTTTGTTGCTTGATTAGATTATGTCCTCTGTGGTTCTGTTTGATAAAACAAGTCTAAATTAGAAATTTGGTGATTACATGTACACGTAGCTTTGAGTTTAGCTTTTATTGGAAATTATTTACTTTAATTTGAAATTGTGCTTCACTTGTCAAGTGAGATGTTTGTGGCTTAAGGTATAATTTAAAGACAGTCATCTAACAATGACATGCTGTACAATACGTCAAGAGATTTCCCTGGGTTTTTGGTTTCTGAGGTGACCTTTGATATGCCTATAATTATGTCTTATTTTTCATGCACTAAGTGGACACTCTGGTTCATGTTCTTTTGACTCAGCACAGCCATGCAAGTGTCATCTTCATGTACATGTCTGAATCAAAATACAGTATAGTTATGACACTGCATTTTCAAAATTAACCAACATCGTAAGAGGTGAATGTGGGCTCAGTACAATGCACATGTTTTATCATAATTATAATAATTTCATTGGTTTGTTGACACTTCAGGAACATCTGAACTTCATTTGTGATGATGAGAAACTTGGTCCTGTTATCTTGTCTGTAAAGCAAGAGATTGAAAAGCTGGATGGCTGTGACACACAAGGATTTATCAGAGTTATTTTAAGGTACAGCTGTACATTGAGCCTTTTGTTGATTTATTAATTGTCATGTAGCTCACACCCTTTTGATGACATGCATCTTTTTAGTTTGCATCACAGACAAGATCACTAGTTACTGGATTTTGTCTGGGAACTGTTTGCAAGTGCCATTAAATAGACTTCTACTATACAGAATCATACTAGCAAGCAAAAGGAGAGGGAAGGAGTGGAATATGACAGGGTCTGAGTGCTCATTAGGGTACTTGTTCACAGCCAGATTTACCTGCAGTTGAATCTGTTTCAATTGACATAGGCTAGCAACTTTTGTAATGCATTACAAAAAAATGCTGTTAGTTTTTCAGTCACAGACTGCATGTGCCTATGTATAGTACAAACCAAAAAAATTAAATATTACACATAATTCAATGACAAGTTTTCTTATTAATTGTTACTTATAATAATTATTACTGTGTAATTAAAATTAAGCTGTGGACAATTGTTTGTTTTCATTGTACTTAACAGAACAACTGAAAAGACTATTGCAGACTCTCTGCCAATAGAAAATCTATCTGAAAATCCCAGTCCAAGGGAGATTACTAAGGTAAGTAATATACCCTGGAACAGCTCTGTGTAAATTATCTAAAACGCTGTTGTATATTCATTACTTATATGTTTTTTCCTTTGTGACCTGTTGGGGTTTATTCAGGTAAAAGCTGTAATCTATGTTGCTGTGAGTGTGTTCAGTAAATTTCATCTCAGATGATGTCAAAATGTAGTAAGAAAAAAAGTGACACAGGAGGCAATTAACCAAGTCACTGATGTTCTTATCACATTTTCATGTTTTCTGTGATCGATTACTGGACAGATGCAGTCTGCAACATGGACTCTATTTGTTTTATAGAATAAAGAAACTGGAAAATGTTAATGATGTCATCCATGTGTCTGGTCTCCAATTGATCATAAGTAAGAACCAATCAAAATGCAAGAATAATTTGACATATATATTTAAAAGAGGAATCTTAACAGCGAAGGTTTGGACAAGAGGTACCAAAATTCCCTTAAAATAAATGTTCACTAAAAGAATGTCAAATTTTACTTTTTTTTGACGCTTTTGAGGGCTGAGCTTGAACACAGTTAATTTAACAAGGTTAGCTCTGTGGTTTTAGCTTATTTATAACATGCAGTGTGTACATGTTGTGTGTTTGTAAGCAGTTTGTGTTAATTCCTTTCAGTATCTTCTTGGGGAGGATGCAGACAATGTGGATCAATTTCAAGTTTTGGCTCATCCTAAGGTACATAATTATCATAATCGCACTAGACATTGTAATGCAGTTATATTGAATTTAATGTAGAGTCAACAACAAGGAGGACCATGGAGGAAACGATCCATATATTGTAAAATCCTGACCAAGAAAGAACCAATCAGAATGCTCAGATTTACCTCAAGACCACCTTGCCATATAAAAAAGAGTAATATCGGTAACCTCCTGTTCAATATCTCCTGACCTCCACACATTTGTTTTGTATTCATAGTCTTTCACTGTTGACACTTTGTACTACATGGAAAGAAAAACCATCTATGATATTGTAATATAATGTTCAATCTGCAGTTCACAAGCTCTGGTATTTCCTCAAATTAACTATGGACCTTTTTAGCGATATGTCAAACATTTTGAATTCTGTTGTTTCAAATAGCTATTATTGGATGCTCAGGGGGCATATTAGTATGTATTTACCTCCTGAGCATCCCATAATAGCTATTTGAAACAATGGAATTCAAAATGGCCACCATATCGCCAAGAAAGGTCCACTGACTGTATGCACCAATGTTACTCACTAAATATTTAAATCTAAGTACACTGTAAAGAACACTGTAGTTATAACAGCGTTTTAGTATCATGTATCACATTTACATGTACATTTACATATTTAGCGACTCAAGTAACTCAAAACATTTCCTTTATTCAAATTAGGAATGTTCCTTCCATGATTTTATTCTACCTGTCAGTTTTCATTTTGCCTTTTCTTACTGTCTATGTTTTCTTTTGTGAATCTCAGGCATCAGAACTGATTGTAAAGTATGATGAACACAACTTATCAAATTCATTCAAGTTTGGAGTGATCTACCAGAAATATGGACAGGTAATGATTCACAATTTTACAAACAGTGTTAATAAATGTTAGCAAATATATGGTGAAATGAAAAAAAAAGAAAATTATGAACAACATAATTGTGACAACTTTGGTGTGTTTTTTTGGAGTTACAGCAATATGATTTTAAACCAATCAGCATGTGTATTTTTTCCATAAAAGTTTGGGAGAACTTGATAAAACTATGCAAACCCTTGCCTATCGACTTCTGACTTGTGTTCCCACAGCATTTCTCACTCTCCCAAACTTCCACTCGTGTTTCTACAACTGCGTGGAAACATGGAAATTTTTTCTATTTATTAGATAGTCCTGTTGCAGAAGTTATATGTGCAAAACAGGTGTGACATCAGTCACTGTATGTAATAATTTGTGTGTTGTGCATAATTTCAGACAACAGAAGAGGAGTATTTTTGCAATCAAACTCACAGTGCAGGCATGAATGAGTTCCTTGAGTTGTTAGGTGACAAGGTGTCTCTGAAAAACTTCAAAGGGTAAGCTGTGAATTTTGTTGAAATGTTTCTACATGTCCATGTGCATGTATGCATTTTATCTCTTATGTAAAATTTTGTAACACAGTGAAACATCTGATGGATTATAGTATATAGCATGTAACAATGGAGAGTAAACTCACGTTCTTTATTCCCTTTTGTCTTGTTTTCACTTTAAGTTTCCAAATAGAAATTAGTGCATTATTTACGTAGGGTTTTTTATAAATATGATAATCATATACTACGACTGATCAATTAGTACCAGAATGGGTCATAACTCTTTAACATACATATAAGTACTTTGTATTNTTCATTCCCTTATTAAAACCAAATGTTGAGCTTCCTGTCATGATGAGCATCATTTGGTCGTTTGTAGGGCCCTGAATTTCGCAAGTTCTTGTTGACCAAACTGATAAATGCAGAGCTGTCAGCTTACAACAGTGCAGAGTTCGCCAAATTAGCGGTGAGTCTAATAATATTCTAATCTTATTAAGTACCCGTACGCCGTTTACATGTTACTTATTTTTTGTCTATTTATTTTTTCAGGACCGAACACGCTCCACTCTACTTCGAGGATTAGCTAAAGATTTACTTGAAAAGAATGCTTTGATTCTTGATGCTGTGGGGGAGGAGGTGGTAAGGCTCTAGCTAGGGATTGTTATTATCATCAACGTCTGATATCTCCTTATTATGTAAATACAATGCCGAGAAACAAGTGATGAGAGTAAATAATATCATCAACTAGAAGATGTCTTAATGCCATATCACCAATCTTTAATTGTGTGTGTGTATCTGGCTTTAGACTCCACGGAGGAGCAACAAGATATCCAAAATCAGGAATGCGTTACGTAAAGGCAGCCCTGTTAGTCGCACCTTTTCTATGAGAGAGCCACGTGTTACTAAATCAGATGACGTGGACTCCGATGACAGCCTTCCTAAGACCTGGGCCAAGAGGGTGAGCAAGAAAACCTATGCAATGCTTTTCTCTGTTAATTTCACTTTCATCTCGCTTCCTTTTTTTCCGTCGTGTTCATGTAACGCAATAGCTTTAGTGCGTTGGAACCCCGTTAACACGGGCCATGAAAATGTAGCCGTATTAACGGGGTGACTGTAAGGTGGAGTTCCACTGTACTACCTTTTAAAGAAATTCATGGAGAATCTCGAGCTTGTTGTAAATGGCAGCATATAAGAGCTTTACACGTTGTTCAATGTGTTTTCACAATTATTTTAGTCGTTTTGTGTCTCCCAGTGAGCAATGTGGTCACGAACGGTGTAAACATGTGGCCGAAACTTATTATGCAAGTATTACTGCTGAAACATCTTTTGAATCGGATGCTAGACAGTAAGCAAAGTGCTTTGTACTAGAACAGCTTGAACCGCTCTCAACCTCTGGGTCACACTCAGTCGGTTTCCTTACTGCGCCTCATAAGTGCCTTCCTCAACCCTCATCATTGATGTAGAGGTGATGTGATTTTTATTCCCATTTAGGCGAAGGAAAGACGAAAATCTGCACAAGGTCTGCTAGCGCCCAGGAAGGCTCCTAAGCCACCAAAGAAGTAAGTCGAGTCAATAAGTGTAGCTGGACAGACACTAATAAAAGTAGAGAAACAGAGCAGTTATTTAACTTTTAAAACTGCCTATTGCCGTCCGTAAAGGTGATAGCAAGTGTAACAGTCTCATACCGGGAACATCGATGTCATGTAATTCTCGAGAAAGAGATTTTTACCCTGTGATTTCCAAAAGCTATCCACATCTATTTTCTCAATACATTGTTAATCAAACAGGTGATGAGAATACCGAAATTAATCGCTTAGTTTCTCTTGATACACCACTAGATTCTCAGAAATGAACGACAGCTTACATACAAACACTGTTACAAGCAATTTTGAAAAAGAATTGATGTCAGTCTTCTCCAATTGTCCCCTGTGTTTTAGTTGTTGTGTATCTGTCGATATCTTACCTGTGTATGCATTTGTTTTCAGCCTTGAGCAGCCTCAGGGCCGCTGTAAGAGTATGGAGTCGCTTCTCATCCAAGAGCAGAACAAAAGCAGCGCTGTGTTTTACGCGGCAGACGATTCCAGTTCTGAATCGAACACGTCCGAGATGTCTCGACATCGTGAAGAGGAAGCTCATTCTCCGAGGAAACATAACACACGTTCACGGACGCCAGAGCCACGGAAAGAAAAGATTTCGGATTCTGCAGGATCACCTCGACTATCGTCGAATATGCCCCAGAACATGACTCATGCGCAGTCAGTGCCTATACTAGAAGGTTATGATCGTACCTATAGGACTCCTTCTCGAGTGCTCGACAAATCACCACTTTCACGAGTATCTTACGAGGGAAGCTCTCCAGGAGAATACCAAGTTCGGTATGTCGGCGGATACCGTTCGGGGCCCGAAGATGAGTCGGACGAGCCAATTAGACTTACGACGTACGATCGGTCTCCGACTCGTCACCGAAGGGGCTCGGACACGCCGGACAGCGTGGATGTTGGTAGAATTGAAGGCTACACTCAGTCAAGCTCAATTGCGACCGAAAGCAGCACATCTCCTATACATTACGTTCGCAAATCCCGAGAAGAAAGAAAGGAGCGTGACATACCGACAAGCTCGCCTTATCTCCGAAGAAAAGCGCAAGATATCCCTACTGTCAATACACAGTCCGCGTCCGCAGCGGGCTCGAGTCCAGTTCCTGTACAAAAGCAGAAGAAAACCGCCATCGTTTCGCCCTTGTTTGATGTGTCAGAATCAAACAGGCCACGCTCTGTTCCACCTGGCCTTATGATGTTTGATCCAACAGACCCTGAGTCCGAGAGAGTGGAACAGGTCAGTAACTTGAACCCGCATTATCCCGCCCCTTGCTTTCCTCTTAACAATTTTATATTTTTCGTCTATTGTAGTGATTAAGTTTCACGTGTTGAAAAAAGTATCACTGCTTCTTCTCAGGTGTTTGACGAACGACCGCCATCACTTCCCAAACTAGACACCGGCAGCGCTTTAAACTCGACTGAAGATTTGTCCTCTACTGGTGAGTATAGTTTAGTGGGATTGCTGACGTACTTGGCTAACTAGTTCATTGATTGTGTTACGTTAAACAAACGTGGTATTCAAAATTACTCGTAGTTATAAAAAACCACTTTCTTGTACACCGCTAGCATCAACAGGTTTTCGTTAACTTTTATTGCTGGTTTATCAACGGAAATAATTGAAACTGTACTGTTTTTTTTATTGATTACAACGTTTTGAGATAGTTTGACGCCTTAGCATTTATGCAGTCAATTTTTAACTCTTGGTTTCGCATTGATTTTCAGCATTTTCCTTCAGACAAATGGAAATGTTTAAAAACGAGATATCAAGGCTCAAGTGTGAAAAGCTTGACCTGGCTCGACAGAACGTGGTAAGTTGTTATCTAGTGACCGAGAGTTATATCAGTGATATTTAATTGGATGTGCATGCAAATATGATGAAACTGGTATGGTAGAATCACATGAATGAATGTACTATGAGAGATCCCAGCTTAGCAGCGACGAGAAAGACTGAAATTACTTAATTTCGCAATTCGTGGAGGGTAAGGAAGTATTCTCATAGGAACCAAAACCCTACAGAAATTTCTGATTTAATATCACATTTGTCCGTGGTTTCCTTACAGGTGACATTGTTTTTATGATCTTTACTCTTAGTCATCGTAAAAAATGGATTATGAGGCAATTGTTGAATTCGGTCTCCTCCAGTAATTACTTATTTACTCAAGGGTATTTCATTGTGAACTTAGAGCTTGCATATTTCTTTAGTTACTGCAGCGTGAACACCGCGCCATCAAAGACGCAGCCATGCAGCAGACCGCTGACTTGTACCAAGCCCGCTGTGAAATAGCTCGACTAAGATCTCTATTGCCAAGTGAGAATGTACCCCCAAGGGACTCCTCCGCGATAGAAGCTGTCACGGTACGAGAGGGGAATATCTCTCCTAAGAGCAGTATGTCTCGAAGAGAAGTCACGACAGGAGTTTACGTTAGGGAAAGAGAAGAAACTGGAGAGATTCCTACAAGGACTTCTTATCGGGCTACGCGTCTTTGAAAGTCACGAAAACACCTTTTACATACACTAGAATTCTTCACGATAAAACGAATTCCCGAACATAGTTAAGAAACACAATCGTAGTCCCTCCATTAAGTGACTTTGTTGTAAACACACTGTAAGATACATACATGGATGTTTATTCTGTTAAGTACCCCATGGTGTGTTGTAGTATCGCGACTTCTAGGAATGTCATTATTTTTCTGTGAAAGTCTGTTGTTAGATCCACTTAGTGCGGTGAAAATCTACGAGATGATAATTCACAGTCTAAATGCTGTTTTTTATTCAAAATGTAATCAATGTACCTTAAGGGTTTTCAATGAATGTCCTTTTTTCTAAATGCGTTTACAAACTTAGCAGAGGAGTTTCCGAGTCTCGGTTCAGACGTCGAACGTATCGTGAGTCAAACCGAACTTAGTGGAAATTAATTAGCGAGCCTAACTGTCATTGGTTTTACTCATTAGTGAGAAATGTGACAAGATAGAGAGATAAATCTAAGGAACGAGGCTTGGGAATGGGTGAAACTGATTGCTGTCAAACACAGCTATGCGTTTGGAAAGAGAATTCACTGCTTGTGTGTGTCAGGAAAGAAAAGTTTTGAAAATCTGTCATGTTGTTGCCATGTAAAACATATTGAAAAATAATGAATACTTCATAAATACAATCAATCAATTTCATCTTCCAGCAAATGGGTTTTATTCGTTCAAGAACGCTGTATGTGGTCGTGCATTTAACAAATGGAACCAAAATTGGAAGCTTGCTAAAAAGGTTTTTTTAATTATCGGAATAATTGTTTGTGTTCATTTATCAAAATGGATGATTTAATGCTTGCAAGGGCCTTGTATTTCTCATTCGAAGCAATTTTACTCAAATTTTCATATGATCTGCTTTCCAATTGTGGTTTGAATTCTCTCTTGCGGGATTTTCAAGTTGCATTTTAAAGCTTATAACTCTTCCCTTGTTGGAAACAAATTTTGTCTCTCGGAGATGCATAATGAAGTTTTAGATACTGCCTGTAGATAAAAAAATGCGCAGCCCCGGCAAGAAAAGCTAAATTATCAATATATTTTAAAATCTCATTCACACAGTGGAGTGAGTGGTTACGTTTTGAAATCATTACCATGTAAAATATATTACCAATTTACAACGATATAGACATGTAGTTACACGCAATTTAAGCTGACGTTTTTGTATTGCAAAGAATTACAAAATAGATTAATTTATGATAATTAAGTTCTAGTCGTTAAAATAATTATTTAGGTGAGCTTAACTCGTTTTTTGGTACGATAGTTATATAGTTTTGCTGTTACGTTCTATAAATTTAGGTTCTCGTTAAATAGAAGAAAAAAAAAACTTACATGTCTAAATCACTTGCTGTGCATTAATGTTACTATTTATGATCATTCAATAAAGAGAACGAGCTTTAGTTAAATTGTTTAAACTATTTTCACAATTGTAGAGTGCATTTAATTGTGTTACAAAACTAGGGATGAACAAATTGGATGAACAAATTGCTATACTGTATTAGAAGATTTATTCTGAAGTAAGATAACACAAGATAAGAACTTTCTTCATGTGGCCGAGTCGCTAGTAAAAGCCTATTTTAAAATAACGCACCCCAAGGGGAAATCTCAAACTCCAGTCGCTGAAGAAGGAATCTGAACAACTTTACCAATTACTCGCAAGATTTCGTTGTATCATAGTTAATATGTAAGCCTAAGATTTAACTGGCAAATTCCATACATCACCTTAGAATTATTTCCGTTTTCGGGCGACCTCATCCTTTAAATCGGTGTTCTTAAAACCACGAGAGTAAAACTACCAATCACTGTATATCACATGTAAAACTAGCCAATCTGAGAGAGAGGGTCTTTTCGTATTATTTATTATCCAAATTTCTATGTTGGTAAATGCTTATACTGGATTTTCAAGCTCCACTTTTTGGTTGTATTTCCTTACAAAAACTTGAGCTCTCTTCATTTCAGTAGTCATAAAAAGTCAGTTTTCAAATTCTCTTTTGCAGAGAAACCAAACACAGCTCTTTTAACGCTAATAGAACCGTACTGTACAAGCGAACAAGCGGACTTAATTGTATTATTCGACAATGGTTTGCTCCGAATCCGCTCAAGTATATATAAACAAAGGCGAGATTATGAAATCAAAACGCGTCGTACAAGAAAATAACACGTTTGATTACGTGGAAAAAAAGGAGCAGTAGAGAAGTATAATTATTGAACACTGACGATGATCGTGTAGGAAACACATTAAGACAGGCTCTTGAGTAATCAATCGCTATAATCTCTTCAGCATACTCGCATTTGTTCTCGGTAAAGGGATATCCAATGCAGATGCCCATGAAGAAGAGAATCATCATCGAGCTTGTCATGGATATTTTTCTTTCCTTGTACAAAACACTCTCTCTCGAAATTGGGGTTCTGTTCCCTAACGAGATATTTCTTAATTTTGAAGCAAGGTTGGTGTGATAAAAATTCAATCGCAGTTCACTGGCTCAAAGTAGAAATTTATTTCAGTCTTACTTTTCCTTTTTTTTTCAGTAGTTAGAATTATTAGAATCTGTTGACGGCAAGTGGCTTAATAGCCTGCGAACACGGACAGCAGATATCTGGTTCTCAGGCAGGGAAGTAGTCTGAGGTGGATCTAAATTGCTGTGTTTTTCAGAGACTTCATCCATGTACAATTTAAGGACGGTGCCTACTTTTGTTAGTGCGCACACGTTATGCGCATCACGCAAGCCATGATTTAGCTTCACGCGCGCGCTGGGGCTGACATTGATGCAATCAACTACGCTATCACTTATACGACTAAAATGAAAGCAAAATTTTCCTACTGTGACCAAATCAAGTTTTATGAACCTGTACTTAAACCAGGAACACCAGAATAGCAGCATATCGTTAACCACTAACTGTTTGCGTCTTCCAGCTGAAAACCTAGCTGTTGTCTGTCGAAAATTATACTGAAATCCAACTGTACACATGTACCTGCAGATGGCGTAGTGCGCGCGCAAAACAAGTGCGAGATACGCAAATGTCTTACTTACTGGGGAGGTGACAGGAAAAAATGTAACGGGCACCGTAAAAGTTTTCAAAGAAGATCAATAACTTTAAAAAACCCGTGGTTACCCCTACATTTTATGTTATGAAATGGAAGTGGCAAGTCTATTCAACACGTCATTAGTTTCTGGTTGTGAGCAAAAGGTATTTAGACTGTATTTTAGCTGAACCAGAGGAAGGCTGTCAGATACGCTAAAAGCACTTTTGCAACGATTTTGTTATTAAAAACATATCAAAAATGTCTTTTTTTT